TAAATAAATAAATAAATAAATAAAGAGAACTCTGCTAAAAATGAATATTCTTCATTTGCAGCTTGTCCAGACGGATTCTTTGGGCTTGACTGCCACCAGGTGTGCAAGTGCAAGAATGCTGCTGGCTGCGACCACGTCCTGGGAACGTGCCGCTGCCTCCCGGGCTGGCTCGGAGAGACCTGTGAGCAGCGTACGTACCCCCAGCCCCAGTCCCAAACCCTCTCAGGGCTAGCATGAGCTTCTTCTGGGAATGCAGGGAGACCTACCAGGGTACAATTTTAGATAGGTCACATTCCTTTCCAAAGATGCCAAAAAAGGGAACGATTTTTGGTAGCTGTGTAAATAATTAACCACGGGTTTGTTTAAACCTCCGTTGACACTGTCGTATGTTATAAGCATCAGTTTTTAAATAGCTTTTAAATGTTTCCTGCCATACGCTACATCTCTGCTTTTTATTTTTGTGTAACGTGAAGAGGTAAATGTTGCATCTCTGTTTCTAGTGTATCTCATCTGATTATCAATTATAAAGTGGTAGTTTACAAGTGTGCAAAATGGAAAAAGCAGATCTGGGACTATTTTGTTATTTGAACATGACAAAATAGCTTAATTCTTAGAAAAGTTGTTTGTTTTAAAAATAAAAAAAGTCAATTCCCTAGATTTTCACAAGTATGGATTATCTCAGTCTTTAAACTAATATGGGATTTTGTATGCACTTATGCACGTATCAAATTTGCTCTTCTGAGAAAATGTTCACTAAATTTTATGGGAAATTATTTTCTTTAGCTACGTGGCATTACAGATGAAGATCGTTGGGCCTATTTACAAAATTTATCAAATATATTGGGGATTTTTCAAGTATTTCAGATGTTAGCCTCTCAACCTCCTAGTTTTGTTTTAGGATGATGTCATGGTCTGTACTTCCTTTTGAAAACACAACTGCTGTCTGTAGGACTATGTTGTAGAGCTGGGGCCCAAAGCAGCTCCACAAGGAGCCAACTTTCATTATTTAGTAAATGCTTTCACAAGACTTTTTTAATCCAAAGGTTGCAGATTTCTGCAAAAGAAAATGGGTTCAATTTAGAAAATATAAGGGAATATTTGTATTCAAACACTTCTGTTCTCCAACGATACACCATGTTATAAGCAGCCTGTGTGAGGGCTGCACTTGCTCTTCATAATATTTTTTCCTCACTTGCTCCTACCATGTAACACAGCCCATCTTCTGAAAGGGCTTCTTCTGCAGAATCCCCTGCTCTTTTGATTTACTGGAAAGACAATGCTGGTGAATCTTTCAACTTTCTAAATGCTTCTGCAAACATTCAACCGTTGCAGTCCTTTTGGCCTCCTCATAGCTCCCCCCGTGGGAGCACTTGGTGCCTGAAGGTGGTGGTGATCACCTACACCCACATGCCAGTATTACTGAACTGACTGTGAGGTAAGTGCAGAGCCAGAGCCATGCTGCAGAACACAAAAGGTGCTGCTGAACAGGTGTGATGTTTGCTTCTTGGTTGAAGCCCACTTTTACTGCCCATCAGCTGAGCCACGGCATTAACCATGTGTCACCTTGGGCCTTCCCCACTCCTTGGACCCATTTAGGGATGGGAAGCTTTGTTTCTACGTATTTCGTTAAATTCAATTAGGAAATGTGTCTTTTTGTTAACAGCCTTCCAGGCCTCTACTTGCAGGAGAAAAAAACCCTATTTATTCTCTTGCACCATAGCCATTAGAGCTTTATGTTGGGTTGATTTATTCCTCACGCTGGTGGAGATGCCAAAGCCTTCAAGGTCTCCTTTGCCTGTAAATAGCAGAGCAAGGTCAGCTAACAGTACAAAGGGTAACATCCTTTTCTCTTGGCTAAACGATGAACCTTCATTTTGATTTTAAGACTGAACCTCAGCCATGTAGCTTCAGAGCTACTCAGAGACAACCATGGGTTGGAGACGCCAGCTCACCACTCCCTGTCCATGCTGCGTGTTTAATATTCACTTTGCCAGCTCCCTGGGCTCACCAGCTCTAGCAGCTGGAAGGACACCACTTGTGTTCAAGTAATCAGATTGCAGGCAATGTACTGGAGGGTATTGAGGAATAATTTTGACATCATGGGATTTGAATTGATCTTAAGCTGACCACACAGTGCATTTTATACACTGCTATCTAATTATGGGCAATACAGACAGTAATGCCTTTTGTTGAAGCTGCCTAATGCTTTCCACTACAAGGCTGTGTTTTTCAGTTGCTTGTAAATGAATTATATTAATCTGGGGTGAAATCTGCCAAGCAAGCTCTGCCTCACCATTTGTGTTTGGTGATTTTTTTTTTTCTTATTTTTGGGGTCTTTTCTGAGTGTCCGCCTAAGAGATTTCAGTTTGCCAAGAAAGAGGTTTAGGGAAAGTATGTTGCCTATTTATTTAGTTTTTAAAGAAACTGTTCTATTGACTGTTGTGATGCCTCTTATACAAAAGTGAGGACTTGACATTTGGCATCTCTTCGTGGCAGAGATGTAACCTTCCTTTCTCTATACAAACTCATCCAAATTTTGCTGTCTCAAAAAAAAAACAACAACAACAAAACACCCCAATGACCACCCCACTCCCTAAATCCCCCAAATCTCCTGTTGCATGTGTTCTGTAGAAGCTGAACACAATTCAGCATCTGTATTTTGCCCTGATTTGATTAGGACTAAACCCACCTCTTTCTGGAGCTGTTGGGGCTCAGCAG